CAACTTCTGATAGTATGATGCCCAAACTGGACCAGAAGAATTCAGAACAAAACCACTATTTAAATTTTCAAGACAAGGCAGGACAGTCCTTCAAAATTCCCTGTTTCACAAAAATATCTCTCAGATAAACTGGACCTGTAGGTCAAAGTTGAATGACCCAGTGCTGCAGAGGAATTTTGGATGACTGTCCAGGCAGCCAGATGCCCTGTTATTAGATAATATTACACCATATTGTGGTCTTTGATGGAGTTAAAGACTAAATAATTAGACTCAAAGTTTTCCAAAGATATGATAAAAGACAAATTAGATATAAAACTTAAGACTAGCAAAGATAAGATAGGTAATAGATAATAGAATATTTTCTCTAATTTTGCCAAATGCAAATAGACTGGATATTATAACTGTTATTTTAATTGATTACTGTTTTGCAAATATATAGAGAGTAAAATTATATATATATATATACATATATACAATTATACTATGTTAAAGCTAAAAACTTTCCTTTAAATATACAAAAAGAGGAAATGCTGTGGAATAATTATTTTGTACGCTGGTAAGATGTGCTGCTTTCATTTTTAACAAAGAACTGACTGACCTCCAGTGATGTAGGAAGAGGTTAGGCAAGAGAGTCAAACTGAAAGAATGATGGAAAGAAGGACAAAGTCATGGGAGTCACCAGAAGATATAGAGGAAGCAGGAGATGAACATGCCATGTAGACAAAAGGGACCACCATGTGGTAAAGCATAGAAAAGCCATATGGGTTAATTTAAGATATAAGTGCCAGTCAGTAACAAGCTTAAGCCATCAGCTGATAACTTATAATTAATAACAAGCCTCTGCTTGGTTACTGGGCCACTAAAAATGGCAGGAGTAGAGCAAAATGGATATACAGAAACCCCAGCTACAAGCTGGGCGTTGGTGGAACATGCCTTTAATCCCAGCACTTGGAAGGCAGAGGCAGGCGGATCTCTGTGAGTTCAAGGCCAGCTTGGTATCCAGAGAGATTGCCAGGATAGGCCCCAAAGCTATATGGAGAAACCCTGTCATGAAAACGCCACCCCCAAAAAAGAAAAGAAAAAAGAAACCCCAGCTACAATGGTCTTCACTCTTAGATAATGCTCCTCCAATTAAATATTTCCATGATGCTTTCTCTGCTAGAATATGTATGTGGAGAGAATGTCTCTTGTGAAACCAACTGACCTATTCCTTCTCCTTCCACTGACTAGAAACCTACATCCCTGGGGATTTCAGACATCCATACACCACAGAGAGTAGTAATATTGTTACCTGTTTCTACAAGATTCCTGTGTTGGTGTGACTCTTTAATTGGATGAATATTAAAGGTGGGTCATTTGTCATCTCTGAACCAAAAAACTCCCCGAAAAGATTCTCAGCATCAATCTAACAGTGTCTGTGAGGTTCTTTACAGCACTCTTTGCACTAAAGAGCATCAGTTCACAAAGAATCTTTGCCCTCTTCTCTCCCATCTCTGGAAGCAAAGGAGAAAGTGCTACTATGCAATCTGATAGTCCTTACTGTAGGACATCTGTCATAGTCACCATCCTTTCAGTGCCACTCTGATCTTCCCCCACAACAAACTCTCACTAAGCAGTTCTTTGTCTGCTGTCTTCATGTGCTTGGAAGTCCATTCATTTCCCAAGATCCTCTGTTGCGGGAGTTTACCTTCAGTTGGGACCTCCTATCACAACCTCAATCTGAGTTAGCTGGTCAGGTAAAAGAAAACTAAATCAGTGAGGAAGGCTCCAATCCTCAGACACAATGAGCAGCTCAATAGACACTCCAGGCTTTGAGTGTGGTTCCTGGAAGCAAAGCAACAAATATCTCAACTCCATGTACCTTTTTCTTACAGCAGTGGCTTCTATACAAAAGAGGCAGAAAAAAATACCCAAGCAGCACAGGAATATCACCTTAACTCTGCAAGAATACAGGCTTTTCTCAGATGAATCTGACAACGTCTATTTCCACTACAAAACAAAATAGCTTCTCATGTTTGGGGGGTTTTGTTTTGTTTTTTTGTTTGGGTGTTTGGTTGGTTGGTTGGTTGGTTGGTTGGTTGGTTGGTTGGTTGGTTGGTTTTTCAAGACAGGGTTTTCCTGTATTGTTTTGGAGCCTATCCTGGAACTCGCTCTATAGGCCAGGCTGGCCTCAAACTCACAGAGATTCGCCTGTTGGCCTCCCAAGTGCTGGGATTAAAGGCGTGCACCACCAACGCACAGCTGCTTCTCATGTTTTTCTTCCAAAACATTCAAAACTGTGGTAACCCAGACCCCTGTGGTCTGTCATAAGCTGCTGAGAAGAACATAAAATCAAACTCCCTCCTGGGAGATTCCTCCTAGTGGTCCAGATCGTAAAGAAGAATTTAAGAAGGATTTTCTGTCATCAACTCACCACCTCCCAAGCTCTCACTCTAGTTTTTACACGGTCCCGTTTTCTAGGACACAACATAGTCCTGGCTTATCTAATAGGGTCTGGTTGGTAAACAAAGTAACAACCATGTTTAAAGCATGAGGTAGCATCATACTCCACATGCTGGTGTTTGTACAACAGGCTTTCACAGATCAGCAGAGACGCAAATCAAGGCAGACGAGGGAAGCACCAGGACAGCATTATCATCCATGTTCAGTGTTTCCATACAGAGAGATGAAAAATGTCTAGGAAGAGTGTTATTGAGAGCTGTACCAGGCTGTTGTGGGTCTACAGGACACCATTGCTCTCTACTAGTGAAACAACTAAAACTATCAAACTTTTGTTTCCTATATTTTGAAAGGATGGCATTTTTTTTATTTTGAACAAACTGTGAGAATATAAGAAGACCAAATCTTTAATGGAAGAAGAAGTTGCCTAGAGAAGGTGGGTGACACCATGGGCTGTTCAGATAAAGTATTGATGAGTCGTCCTCTTCCCCTGGAGCTTTCAGCTTTTCAGCCCCAGGAAGAAGGCTCCAACTGTGGCTGACATCACAGCCCAGCAGTGCCCAGGTCTACATTGCTATCTGTGATCATAGCACAGAAACAGAAGTTGTGGGAAACAGGGACCCAGAGGCATTATCTACAGAAAGGTCTGGGCAGGAAAGGTGAGGATGAGTGCAGACACAAGTGGAAAGGGCTTGCATGGCCTAGACACTTGTCTGAGGTTCTCCTACTTAGAGTCCACTGACCTCATGGCAGCACCTCGGTGATTTATTTTGTCCCATTAAATATGACAATTGTTTATGGATTACTTTCATGCCTGATCTGGGACCATTTGTCATTGCCTTCTGAGCCCGCCATCACTAACATACATTGTATATATACACTATTGCATTTCAATATGACCCGTTTTCTCATTGCCCTCTGGGCCTATCACTCACATACACACACTACCCCATTAAAAGGCAGGACCTGTTTGTTTCCCCTCTTTCTACTCTGAAAGTCTTAAGGGAATTACACATTCATCAGTCAAATACTCAAACCAGCAAACAAACTTTATTCCCCAAATAATGTCCAATTCTGTGCACATATTGTCCGTCCCTTGGACAGAACAGCAGTGACCTCTGACAAATGCCACAGGGAGCACTAGGAACACTCACAGTATGCCTACTTGACAATGTAAACTGGTCCAAGAAGCTCTGAGATAATGGGACTCCAACCAAGTGAGAGGCAGAAGACCAGCCAAAGAGCCTGTCCCAATCTCTCGAAAGTCGTTTAACTACCAGGAAAATGTGATGGCACTATCAAGATGTAAGAAATCAGAAGTGAGCATTGTGACAGAGCAGGACCAGATGCATCTAAATGATAATCAGCTGCGGCAGGAGTAACTTGATAATCGAGCATCTCTCACTTTCTAGGTGTTCACACTCATGGACTTTGTTTTAACAGAATATGGTACCAGAGAGACATTGAATACTTATTCCTTCATTACTGAATGTGTTCAGCATTGGCCAGTTGAAGGGGAGGGGACGTAAATTAACAGAGGAACAAAACAAAAATAATCCCTTCCACATCCCCTGGGAGGGAAATGAAGATGAGGATATGTCTGACTACTCCAGCTGTGCTGTGAAAGATGCAAAGTCAGCTGGGGACTACATGCAGCTGACACCAGAGGTCTCCCTGACTATACTAAATGACAAGATTGCCCAGAAAAGTGCAATCAAATGTCAGCTGGACTCTGGAGTTCTGAGAGGAAATGCACTTGGGTTTCACATTCGAAAGCACCTGCATATACAAACTGCAGGAGGGACGGGAGACAGAGAAGCTGCTTTCTCAGGGGAGACAGAGAGACAGAAACTGGTTCCTCAGCAGAAGCAGAGCTTTGCCTATGTCACCCTGTTCCCTGGGGACCAGACTGCCCAGTGAGGGTGGAACAAGAACAAGAGCAGACCCGCTGCAGGAAGAGAACAGCTCTGATTCTGCTCTTCATCTCTCCTTTCCTGACAATAACTACTTTGCTGTTGAGATGATTTAAACATTTGAGATGTCTTTATAGACTGCATGGGGTCCCAAGTATTTGTCTGTCAAATCCTTTCCATACAGCTCCCCTATTCTGTGGAGACCCAAGTCATAAAGCTGGGGAAACAGCATTGGGAAATCTTTACTCTTACCCACATCCCCCAGTAGTGTCCAGACCTTCCATATGTTAATAGATGGCCCAGCTTTTTTCTAGGGTATTGTCTTAGAGAGGCACTTTTGAAACTACAACAAAAGTCTTCATGCTCTTGAAAAAATAGAAATAACTTTCTCATAGAGAGTAATAGAGGATGTAGAGATTATGTCTCAAGGACATAATTACCTGATCACAAACTCAAAACACAGAGGCATCATTCTGCAATAACCTGATCACTGACAGGAGGGGACTCCCTCTCTGCTCTATGTGGAAGGACTCTGGAGGCTCTTCTTCCCTCCAAGGAGGCCAACATTCCTGTGGGGAATGGGGTCATGCTCACCAGCAACTGACTGACAAGATGCTTCCTGCACACTCACCACACAGATGCAGCAAGAACTCAGATCTTAAATCTCACACAGGAAATTTATGGTCAACGGTCCTGGCCCTCTTTCCACACCTAAAGGTTTAAAAGTGTGAGGCACAAACAGGTGACAATTGACAACAGGTCAGAACCTCTGAAGATGTTCCTGCTCCTGAGCCTCCTGGTGGCTGTCCTGCCAGTCAGCACTGAAGGAGGTAAGCAGCCATTCCCCTCCCTAGAGTCTTGTGTGTGTCACACTGACACTTCCATAGTGTCCCAGTCAGGCTCTAAGGTCTGCACCTCACTCAGTTTATCTGAGAAGTTTGCTGAGCCCCAGCCTAGTGCTGGTTAAATGGATTCTGAAATCAAAACAAACTACTTGTAATGGCACTTAGTAAGACAGATCTTCCCCATCTAACAGAAAGAAATTACAAAACTATCGTAGGACCCTAGAGGAAAGATAGAGTTGAAAATGAAGTTTTTATTTTCTGGAAGTTTATTTGGCCAAACCTAAGAGTGAGAAGCTCTATCCCATGCCTAACATGTGGATTGAGACTAGAAGAATTGTCTATTCCTGTCTCCAGGCTTCACTTTTACCTTGTCTCTGTTCTTCTGAGCCATACAGATCTGCCATGACAGCTCCCCACAATCTAACAGAGCCAACTAAGTGTGGCTTCATCCCTTCTCCACAGTTTGATGGTAACAGGTTAACATAGGACCCTTAACCCATCTCCCCATTTCACTATGATCCCTACAACTCTATGTAGGGATCTTCCTTCTAAGAGCTAAGGCTATTTCCATGCCTTAAGAAGACAATCCCATGCTGAGGTTCAGACTGCATTAGGAAACTCCTCTCCAACCTACTGTCATAGCACATTTGAGAGATTTTCATGGTTTGTACAACAGTCTTGTTGTTTCTGAGTGGTGTCCTTGCTATGTATCATGAATCAGAATAGAGAAAAGGAAGACAGTGTTTTCTATCCCAATAGTGCTTCATGCTAACTTCAGCCCAGTGCCTAAGTGAGCAAGACTCTAGGTGAAGCGACTGTTGCTGGTTGGATATATTCTAGGTCTTCTGGACAATGTATGCTGAATTTTTCCTATATGGGTACATGTGGTTTAAGTGAGTCAGGGAAAAACTTTGTTCTAACATTAGTCCAAGAAGAAATTAAAAACTAGGGAATAAATGACATCATGCTTCAAGCCCTGTGGGATCACCCACAGAAGCCAGAGACATTTACCTGGTGTGTGACAGACACTACCAAAGACTTTCTTCTTCATCCATGTCAAATCCACATACTCTCCTGACATGAATATGTCCCTTATTTCAGCGACCACGTTTGTTGCACAGTTTCCATGAGCACAGAGGTTCAGAACAAATTTTCTCTTTTAGGAGAAATAATGTGGGGTACAGAGGCCAAACCCCACTCCCATCCCTACATGGCATTCATAAGGTATTACGATATCAAATCAAACCTAAAACGATGTGGTGGTTTCCTGGTGGAAAAAGATGTCGTAATAACAGCAGCTCAGTGTGGTGGAAGGTAAGGAGAAGCAACAGGGTCTTTGTGTCCTGGGACTGAACAGTAACAACAGATGCAGGCAGCGCTTAAAAATAGAACAAGGGCGAAGATCAACCTCCCTTTTCCCTATTTGACCTAAACTGATTGTGGGACAGGGAACCCAATGCTGTCAGTGAAGGATCTGATTGGCTAGAGATGCTTCTGAAGCCCTAAGACACAACCTTCCTCATGAATTTCTTGCTATTTGACTCAGCCAAGCTCTGCCTTGGGCTGAGCCTTCCACCTGCATTTCAGAGAAGGATATATTGCTCCCATGTTGTACTTAATCCATTTTGTTTTCAAAGGAATATAAGTGTAACTTTGGGTGTTCACAATATCAAGGAACTGAAAAACACCCAGCCCATCCCTGTTCTTAAAGTCATCCGCCACGAGGACTATAATAGTGAAAAAATGGTCAATGACATCATGCTACTGAAGGTACCATTTTCCTGATTATTTTGGAGCACTCCACAGATTACTATTGTATCAGTCCAATCCTCTCTCTGGGTGACTGGTTTATGGTCCCAGGGCAATAGATTGGGTCTTTGGGAGCTTTGTATTTGTGGAATATACAGTCAACACCATCTGTGGTTTAAGCTTACTGAGGTGACAGAACAGAATCTTCTTTTTCCTTCTTACCAGCTGAAACACAAAGCTCAACTCAATAAAGCTGTGAAGACCATTGCCCTTCCAAAGAGCCAGGAATGGGTGAAACCTAAGCAGGTGTGCACAGTGGCAGGCTGGGGAAAACTGGCCGGCTGTACTCTGCCTGACAAACTTCAGGAAGTGAAGCTAGAAGTCCAAGAAAGTGATGTGTGCCGAAAAATGTACAAAAGCTACGACAACTCCACCCAGCTCTGTGTGGGAAACCCCAAGGAGAAGAAGGCTACTGCTGATGTAAGGACATGGCCATCTTCAAATGTTTTCCAGGGACAGAGCTATAATGTAGACACAGCCAGGCCTTCTCCCACTGTGCAACTGCTGCTAGTCTAGAGTTTATGGAGGGATCAACCCACAGGGATCCACCATTTTCCCTCAGCCAAATATGTCCTTTAACCATGGGAAAATAGGAGAGCTAGAGTCTACTGAGACTGAAGAAAGACACATCAGGCCCAGACACTCTAGGTAGAGAGTCACAGAGTTCATTGACCTCCATCCCATCTTGGACCCAGGTCAATGGTGGCAGTTAGCCTTTCCATCTGAAAACCCAGGCCCTAGTGGGAACAGAGAAGAACAGGGAGAAAATGAGTCTGGCAAGAGGTGATGATATTTACTAAGACTTGCCATTTTTCTGTCCACAGGGAGATTTTGGGGGACCATTTGTGTGTAATGGTGTGGCCCAGGGCATTGTTAGCCAACACCATTGCACTGGAGACCTTCCTGAAGTATTCACCAGAATCTCAAGCTTTATACCATGGATTCAGAAAAAAATGAAACTCCTTCAACAACCCTAGAAGACAAATGTCCAACATTCTGGGGTACAGCTATCTGAATATTAATAAAGAGATCTGTCTTCATAAAAGAGCTGTTCCCTTTTGCAAATGCATAGCTAAAATATTATGTGCACCAGCTTCCCTTCTCCCTCCCCTTGTCTCATGCTCACTGTCTTCCGATACTTCTCATTAAGCCTGCGCATCTTACCTATGCATGGACCCCATCCTATCAACACACACATAGGCCTGTACTGTCAGTCCTGGAGAGCACTGCCTTACTCTGAGAAGAAAGCCATCTTCCTTTCCAAATTCTTCCTCAAATTAAACAGACTACCAAAGGATGGAGAGTTCAAAAGCCCTCCCCTCTCACTCTACCCATTCCTCTAAGGAATTTCTATGGTCCTAGGAAGTCCACTGTTCTCTGAGGCCCCTCCCAGGTCTCCTGGTCCAGTGCCCCAAGGTTTCTCTACCCAGCTATCATCTCACCTTAGAACTGTATCCACCTCTGTTTACCTTGATCAAAGGGACTCAGGAGATTGCACGTGACGGCTCCATCACCTGGATCAGGAACTTTAGAATAGGATCAATTCTTGTGTGCTTAGACCTGTAGAATCAGGCCAGCTCAGTTTGTGCCCCTCATCATAAATAGCAGTGTGATACCTTCTTTGTTGTACAGTTTCTCACATGGACTCCAGGCTTATTGGACATCCTCATTGCCAAGCAGTTTCCTAACATCCCTATAAACCTGAGGCGCTCCACACAACTCTTCAACTCTCTCTCTCTCTCTCTCTCTCTCTCTCTCTCTCTCTCTCATTTATATCCATGAGTTTAGTTCTGTGACTCATGAGATTAACAAAATCCAGCTGTGTAACTGTGGGTTTGGATCTATCTGTTGGAGTCTGGTAGGCTCAGCAGTGGATATACAACTCAAAACAGTGCTTACCTCCTCTCCCAGAATCTATCAATAGCCAATAGTTCAGAGGCGAAGAGTGGGGCCCTGCAAGCCCCTCCCTGTTCCTTGACTGATTGTTGATAGGGCTGGTTTTTTGTGGGCCCAGTGCTGGTAACTGCAGTAGGTGTGAACTGATGGCTGCAATAATAGTATCAAGTCTAGAGAAAGGAATTATGCAACCCTTCACCCTACCTTACAGATCTTCCATACTTCCCACGCCCTCTTCCATAATGTTCACTAAGCCTTAGAGGGGGTGGTATCAGCGACTTGACTAGGGTGGACTCACGACCATAACTTACTTGTGCATCTTGGGCAGCAATGATTCTTTGCATTCACCGTGATTCACGGTGTCTCTGATTAGGGCTGGAGGCCACTTTTGTCAATGAGGGAAAGCATACGTTTTTGGAAGTTAGTTTGCTCCTGTGTCAGTTCAATAAACCTTCAGAAATGCACTCCCCACATGGACCCACTGCCTCCCCTGTAGGTTACTAGCCAGGCTTACAGCAGCAGGCATGGGTCTCATGCGGCCCATGCTGTGGGTTTTGATCTGATCAGAAAGCAGCTGGTTACTCTCAAAACAGTGAAGCTGCTCTTACACAGGTGGGCACACCTGGATTTTCATGGGGCTTCTTTATACTTTCTTTATCACAGTTAATTCTTCCCTCCAACCCAAACCTCCAGCTCCCAACCCCTACCTCTCTTCAAACCTAAACCTTTCTACTTCAATATTCTCCTTCCTTTAGTCCTATTCTTTACGATTCCTCCTCCTTTAAGGTAAATTCTCCCCTCCCTTATTTATTTCAGGTTTTCCTGGCTTCTACAGTTACTCCATGTTAGATACACAAAGCCAAACATCCATAGAGCTAGGCTCCTCATATGAGGAAGAAAGTGTAGCTTTGTTATTTGAGGCTTGGGTAGCTCAATCAGAAAAAAAAATCCCATTCCGTCCAGTTTCCTGAAAATTTCATGGTTTTTATGTGTACCACATCCTTATTGTCTATTTTCAGTTCATGGGCAGCTAGACTGCTTCCATCCCTAATTATTGTAAATATGGCAGCCATGAACGTGGATGTACAGATACCCATGCCAGAGGCTATAGACTCCTCTGGATAATTGCCCAGGAGAGATTTAGGTGGATCATATGGTAGTTTTATTTGTAGTTAGTGGGTTATTTTTTTTTTTTTGAGAAATCCTCAGGCTGATTTCCATCATGGCAGCACCTAGTTTACACACCAAAGAGGAATGTAAAGAGTCACCTCTCCCCCACATCCACACAGGCTTTTTCTGTTGATATTCTTGATGGTGGCCATTCTACCTGACTGAGATGAATCCCAAAGTGACTTTATACTTGATTTCCCTAGTAGCTAATGATGTTGAAGATATTCTAAAGTATTTCTTACTGGCCATTTATATTTCTGCTTTTTAGAGTTTTTTGTTTAGTTCTGTTTTAGGTTATTTTTAATTGTTCTTTACTTTTGAGAATTTCATACATGTATACAGTATAATCATATGTATTCTCCATATCCCTGATTTAACTCTCAGCAGATACTCCTTGACAAGGTCCCTCCCAACTTCATGACATAGAAGACAGAAAAGAACTCCAGGCCAAAGGCATGGGTAATATTCTAAATTAAATCATAGAAGAAAGTTTCCCAGATACAAGGAAAGAGATACTCATCCAAATAAAAGAGGCCCACAGAACAACAAATAGGCAGTCCTAGGAGAGAAATTCTCCAGGACTTATTACAGTCAAAATATTAAAAACATAGGCATTGAAAGTTGCAAGACAGAAGAGCCAAGTCACATACACAGGCACTTATATCAATCTATTATCTAATCACTTGATAAATACGTTTAAAGGCAGCTTGTTTCTTATAACCTGCTAAGTCTCAGTAGTGATGCCCATATGTGGAGCTATGCACCAAAACCTGGAAAACCCCTCAGTAGCCATCAGTGATTATTCCTGCCCTGAAACCATCCACTGTCTATAGCTCCTTGGAGGTCACCTACCCCATCTCAGCCACAGAAAGCCACCTTAATAGTTATCAGTGATGGGAATGGGGTTAATCAAGATACAGAGTTCTCTGCCATCTTGTTCAGCCTGGTCCCTCCAGCTCTGGTGAGTTCTCCCACCCTGGCAGGATCCTGGTGTGCCATGGCCCACCTCTGTTCTTACCACATTGCTACCCTGATCCCACTGATTTTCCACCAGAAATCTAAGCCCACCACCAGTTTCATATCACATTGCTCCTCTACTTGTATGAGTTTTCCCATCCCATTGAGAACCCAGCCTGCCCCATCTATGGGGCCATGTCACAACACCCCCCCACCCACAACCCAGCCACTCCAGGATTGCTATGGGCCTAGACTAGACTTGAATCTGGTATAACACGCTGCACTGGTTCCCATATTCCAGTCAGAGCTTCATCCCCTTGAGACAAGCCAAGACATCTAGTGTACGGCCACCCTATGATTCTAGTCTGGTGGGGTAAAAGCTCATAAAAACAAAACAGCCAACGGTCTAAACCCAAATTCTCATTTCCTATCACAAAAAAAACAAGGTGAAAAACAGACAATATGCCAACTTACTAATTCAACAATTCCATAACAATGTCCCCTAAGAAGAGAAACTGAGATGAAATCCAAGACACAGAACTCTGAGATTCTATGAAAAGACCAAACTCACCAAGTATGTGCAACTGCCAACCCAGATCCTCTTACTCCACAAAACTATACTAGAATTGAAGAAGACGTAGAACTTTTGAAATAACAGGTCCATCTCCTAGGGACTCTGACTCATAGTGAAGACCTGAGGCCAGACTACTACTTCCTGGCAGCCTTTTCTCCTACGCCATCTCCATTCCTGTGTGACTCCACAGAACCTCAAAACCTGTCTACACCAGGAATCTATAGCAGCCACACCAGGCTGGGACTCGGGTGGTCTCTCCAGACTTAACCTTACGTCTGTTGCAGCTACCTATCTGAGCCCTGCTCCCAAACCACCTCCATCTCCTAGGGATGCAGCCTCTTGAGGTAGACCTAATGCCCTTCTCAGCTTTTCCCTCTAGCCCTTCTCCATTTCATTCTAACTTCTTGCCAACCTGAAGACCAGCTCTCTTTCAATGAACCTCACAGCAAGCACACTTGGCTGAGACTCGGGGGACCCACAGCTTTCACAATTGGCTAGGAGATTCAAAGTGGGCAATAGCAACCAAAGAAAAGAAAGTCCACCACCCACAAGAATGACCCCAACTATGACTCCTAGCAATATTGGAGAGGGTGCCTGAACATCTCCTGTGACTTCCTAATTGCCATCAGAGATACTCTATCCAGTAATTGACGGAAGCAGAGGCAGAAACCCAAAGACAAGGACTTCCCTGAGCTCTGAGAGTCTTGCAGAAGAAAGAGAGGCAGGATGAGGGAAACCACAGAGACAGATGGAGCTTGCTGGAGCTCACAGACACTACATCAACAGTCAGGGAGCCTGCATGCATGTGGCAATCATGCAGCGTGGTTTCTTAGTAAAACTTCTAACAGTGAGAGCAGGACTTCTCCCTGTTGCTTAGCTGACTTTTGGCAACCTGTTCCCAATGCTGGATTGCCTGACCAGGCCTCAACTCAAGGGGAGGAGCTCGGTTCTTCCTCAACTTGATGTGCTGTACTTTGTGCAAACCCATGGGAGGCCTGTCTCTTTCTGAATGGAGATGGAAGAGGGAGGGGGGTAGATGGGAAAGGGGATGAGATCAGAGGAGAGGAGGGAAGGGAAACTGGCTAGTATGTAAAATAACTGAAAATTGTTATTTAAATAAAAAAAGAAAAAGTCTACCAAACAAAGACAAGAGCAGGTATCTACAAAAAACACTTCAAACATCATAATTCAATATTCCTAGATCCCAGTGCAAAAACACAAACATGAGCAACCAAGACAATATACCTCCTTAAGAAGCCAGCAACCCTATTGTACACAGAGAAAAGCAATTTAGCTGAAGCAAAAGACAAGGACTTCAAAAGAACAATTGTGAATATGTTCAAAGACCTTAAAGAAGATATGAATAAATAAATGGCTCAGTGAAAATCATGAAAACACAGACAACTGAATGGAATAATAAAATCAA